CATGGGGAGACCAGCAGGTAGATGAGGTCCTGCGCTCTAAGTCAGGGACAAGAAACTTCCATGAATGGTTGCAGAGGTCTCACTTTTACCACATGATATGCCCCACGCACTAACCAACTCCACTTCAAAACTCTTCATGACTTTCCTCCTAACCCCCTCCTTTTTTTTCGCCTCCCACCTTCCTCCACAGAATGTGTGCGCCGCTGAACGCGGCCCCAATAATCATAGGCGGGCCCCTATGGGAGAGCCTTTGCCAGTATGTATGATAAAAATTAGCTTAGCTACTAGATAGGCGAGTCCGCTTCGCCCGTCGTATATTCCGCTCCGGGATCTTTGTGGGCACGTGACCAACGCACGTGCCACTTTTCCGACGTAAAATAGCAACTACTACTACTACTACTACATATCGCTTCCATACTCCGAAAGACCTGCCAGCGCTCTCTACCTCTTTTGTTTCTCTCGGCTGGTATTGCTGGAATGGTTTTATGACAATGGAAAATGACTCTGAGCATTTGAATGATCTGTTCGCCCCGTTCGGTTACACTCAGACTGCGCTAGAGACGCCGACAACGGAGCAATTCTCAATCTCCGATGAGATACCGTGGGCTGACTGGACGGCAGGTCTCGAGCCAACAGCGTCTTTGGATCACCATAATGGGCTTGACCTTCAAGTAGATTCCACGGAGGATTTTGCATTCGACTTTACTGAACTTCTAGCACACCAAGGCCCTGGTGACTTTGAACAAAGAATTGGTTACGACTTTCCCGTCGGGGAACATGAGATCGACAACAATGAAACACCAAACGATTTCACCAATGTCAGTCTCTGGTTGAACGGCGCATATCTTCCACCTGTACCCTGTAGCCATTGCAGAGCGAACCGGTTACAATGTCTCATTATCCAGACTACACAGGCGAATCCCAACCCGGTTACCTCGTGCTCTAGCTGTGTTGCATTGTTCAGAGAATGCAGCCTCGCCCGGGGAGAGAAACGCCAGCCGGCAGGGTTTGAGACTGTTACGCCGGTCCTTGGTCATCTCCACGGGGTTCCGGAGCAGACAGAGGAAGGACAGCCTAGCCAGACACAGGCACCGGGTGATCACACCCAGGATGAAGGTAGTTACCCACAAAGCAATACCGGCTTTTATAGACGGAATTTCTCGAGAAAAGGCGCGAAAGTTTTGAGGGACTGGTATTACCAGCATCAGGAATACCCATATCCCTCTAATGAGCAAAAAGTCGAACTTGCTCGTGAGACTGGCTTCACCAGGAAGCAGGTATCGGATTGGTTCACCAACGCACGGAGACGCCAGAAGCAGACGATGCAATTCTCCAGACCAGCCCAGGTCTTCCGGGCCGGCTCACCCATGCCGACTAGTGAGATCGAGTCCTTGACACCTCTGGAGAGGTGGCAGCAATCGCCACCAGAGGACGAGCCCGTGTCTGAATCGACCATTCAAAACGCAATCGCATCAAAATCCACTGATATGTCCCGGTCAAGCTGGAATACCTCGCATGCGGGAGATGATATTTTTCAAAATAGCGCAGACGATGTTACTTCCGCATCTAGTGTTGGGAGTAAAAATTCCTACGCATCCTCCGACAGTGCCGCATGGAGTTATCATTCCGGAGAAAGCATGCCTTTCCCGCTTCTTTCCAGGAGATCATCTAATAGATCTCGAAAGAAACGGACGCGGCGCCAATCATCACAAAAAGAGCGTCGATATCAGTGTACATTTTGCACTGACACATTCGTAACAAAGTACGACTGGAACAGACACGAGAAGAGCGTGCATTTATCCCTAGTGTCGTGGATCTGCGTCCCAAAACTCGCAGAGACCTGGCAGACAAACGATCGACAAGCAGAATCAACATGCAAATTCTGCGACACTCCCTCTCCACCAATGGCCCATATCGAACTGCACGAGTTCGACATCTGCGCCACAAGACCCCAATCCGAGCGCACGTTCAGCCGCAAAGACCATCTCTGGCAGCATCTGCGCAAATTCCACCACTGCACTAAACTTCCCAACGTGGATGTCTGTCGGACAGAGTCTAACAATGTGCATAGTCAGTGTGGATTCTGTGGTGTTGTTTTCCAAACCTGGTCTGCAAGGGCAGATCACCTGGCGGAACACTTCAAAAGTGGCACCCGGATGGATCAGTGGACTGGTGATTGGGGATTGGAGTCGTCCGTGCTAGCAGCGCTGAAGGATGCGATGTTGCCGGGTGACAGAACTGGACCGGAATAGCCCGATTTGTTGGGGTCTACTAGCAATAGTGACGTTGGTTGTAAACACCATCAGATCTTTTCAAAGGCCCTTTATCATGCCTACGGAGTACATGGTTAGTCCATTTATCATCGCACTGTATCAAGTGCTTTGGAGGATAATTTCTCCCTGCGACGGCCTCCGTGGAGACCCAAACGGGGCAACGGCATCAGTTGCCTGAATCGGGGATCTTCTGACCGCCATGGCCCATGCATTGTACTCTGTAATGACAGCCGGACATGGAACCGGATTCCTGAAGTCTCTTAAGCGCAAACCGAGGTGGATCACATTCTCAAATTTGAGGTGCCTTTTTTGTATATTTGTATCATATGCACTGCTGGTCAAGTCCAACGCCACTAAGTACAAGTGTCTGCATCCGCTCAGCCACTCCGGTTCTAATCCCCTTCATCCGGCCAAAGTTAACTAAGGAATTGAGTGTTACTTAACCTTATGACAGAATTGACCAATCAAACTCGACTGGTATGGTGGCGCTCTACTTTCTACACTTTTTGTCCTTACTCCGTATGCCGTATCGGTGCACCGCGCTGTGGCTTATGATAATTTCGAGGAATGCAGCGTCAAATGCAAGGCAAGTCGTCCCGGTCAATGCTCCAATCAGGAACATCCGGACACATGGCAATGGCGGTGCTCAATCATGGGTGTATCAGTCAATTGATAGATTGGTTATTCCTGACATCCATCTCTTCCTTCTCTTCTAGTTATTCGTCCTGTTTCGCTCAGGCAACAGGTTTCGCAAGGATGCCGTTGTTACAGCCCAATAAGGATTGCTCCGAGTGCAAGGGCCATCCGAGGAGATCATGAGATACTGGGGCTTTAGAGGAGTCTTTGCTTGACGATCAGTGACGATGGGTGGAAACACCCGCAGTAGTGAGCCAAGGTCATCGAGTCAGCGTTCCTGGTCAGCCCTGCACCAAGTCAGGCAGAAAAATTCTGTTGAAGTGTTAGAGTGGTGCAACGTCAGAGCCGTGGTTAAACTTTCGACGAGGAAAAAAAGACAGAGTCGCCATGACCGCAGAGCAGACGTCATGGACCGAGGCTCTCGTTGGCCCGATCGGGACTAGCATGGGTCACGTTCCGGCACTAAACCCAATGCGGCCAAATGCAATGATGACGTCAAGGAGGCATAGGACAGCCGAAGCAGCAGAAAGAAACTTCATACTTCCCCGAGAGTGAGGAACCACTCAGCACTCAGAAGGGAAACCTAACAGCGACGATGATGATGCCTCACTTACGATTATATCACTACTCCCGTGCCTCAGAAGGAGGGCCCGCGCCGGGATCTCCGGATATCCGCTTTAATACCACCATGCTGCCCTGACCTTTGCTTTTCTTTCCCCCTCGTGCTGCTCTAATAACTTTTTTTCCTTCTTTTCTCTCCTCTTCCTTTGCTCCTATTAGTTGCTACTAGTACCTGCAATTGACCATTGGTCTGCTTCCTGTCACCTTTGATAGTTATACTGAACTACTTGCTACCACCATACAATGTTGGGAAGTATGTACCACTCTTCGAACAAAGCACAAGAAACAGAAGGGATTAAAGAAGCTGACTTCTTCTAGGAGCGGCATTAGGCTTTACAGGCCTCTTCTGGATGGCCTCCGGCCTTCTGCTGATGTGGTTCACATTCCTGGGAGGCACAAGAAACAGCAACCCGCTGAACAGGATCTACTTCCTCGAAGCTGCCACTAGCAACATCCCAGGCGCTCCGGCGACATCCCGATGGACTCTCTGGAACCTTTGCCCTGTTGTTGATGGCAAGAACGACTGTGGATCGAATACACCCGACTTTCCCTTTGACCCTGCGAGCCACAGGAACTTCGGCACTGATGTCAATGTCCCGTCTCGATTTATTGATAAGTAAGCTACAATGCCCCTCAATGGCAAGTTGTTGATGGCGGGTGAATCTGACTGTTGGAAGCCACAACCACTACTTCATTACTTCTCGGTTCATCTTTCCGTTCATGCTCATCGCCTTGTTCTTTGGCGTTTTGTCCTTCTTTACGGGATTCTTCGCTATGTGCGTTCGGGTTATTGGCCATGTTTCTGGCGTGTTTGCCTACATCGCCTTGACCTTCCAGACCATAGCTACCGCTATGATGACGTGAGTGCTCAAGAGTAAACCCATGATATGATGTGATGCGGTTGCTGATACAAGAAACAGTGCTGTCTTCGTCCAAGGCCGCAACGCCTTTAGCCGTAACGGTCAAACCGCCAAGGTCGGTCCTATGGCTTTCGGTTTCATGTGGGCCTCAGTTGTTCTGCTCTTCTTTTCCGCCTTGTGTTACTTCTGGGGAGGAAGTCTCAAGCGGGATGACGGCGGCTACAGTGGCCGGGAACAAAGACGGCGAGGCTTCTTCTCTTCTCAGCGCTCGTCCAGCGTGAGAAGCAACAAGGAGACCAATGTCTAAGGAACTAGTCCGGCTACTATAGACGGGAACACCGTCTGGACCAAATGCCGATTTGGTCAGTCGTCACAAATAAAACGACACCGTTACGGATACTATTATTTCTTCGGACTACTTAATCTTACCGCGCTCGATCGCAGTAACATCGTTATATAATATCGGGGGGAATTCGGATGGCAAGGAACATGTTCAGTCTGGCAATTCATGCTTTAAGACTATGTTGACACCAACACATACCTTAAATCTCCCCACGCCTTTCTTACGCGATTAGGAATGATTCCTCGCGTGCGTTTTTTATTTTTTTATTTTTTTATTTTTTTTTATTTTTTTTATTGTGCTGGTTTTTGACGACATTTTCATGATATCTCTCAGTTGGTTTCCTACTTACCTTAATAATAAGTGTAATATAATAGTCGAATGTGCCCTTAACTTGATTTCAATAAAAGCTGGTGTATTCTTAGAATTTTCAGGTTGACAATCATTCCCGTCCTACATTCCTAGATCTGCTTAGGCATTGATTCATGGCATAAAAACTATTCATTATTGAACCAACAGCCAAAATCACCTGAGAAATTCGATATATCTTAGACATGGGCCAAGAGGTAGTATTCAGCTTCATGGTTACTTTCAAAGTATACACTTTGGTCATTGACATGTCTATCCGAACAACCACAACAACAGAAGTCCTTCTGGATTTAACCCATTCACAAATTTCTCCAGTTTCATTTGATAGGAATGTATTTTCTTCCCTTTCCGATTGATATGCATGGCTACCCACATATCGTATATTCAATATCAGTGTTCGTAGTGAATATATATCCCAGGAACAAGTTCCTAGCAAACAGAAAGGTACTTTCTCTTTTAAACTTACTACCTTCTAAATCTGTCTCTTCTGCGCTTCAGTTCTCAATGAGAAACACCTGCAAGCATCCGCCATCGCTACCCCTCATCCGTCAAGATAGAATAACCTCCCATCGACTGTCATCTTTTCACCAACTTCTCCATCTCCAGGGCGGGATACTGATGAGAAGTAAGTACTGCCAATCGCCCTGCCCAGTTTGACTTCTGCTAATAACTTCCGTTATAGACTGGCGTATAGTATATAGCTTCGTCCACGGGGACCCATGGGAAAAACGAGCGATCGTCCAGGACGACCAGCTTTTACCAGTGGTAAATAAGAAAAACACCATAGGTCCCAATGGGATCGAACTCCGGGATTTCTTCCTCCAGCGCCTCGAAGCGGTGGTGTCAGATGCTTCAAAAAGCATGTGACCTACCTTATAGAGTGCCCATACGGCCTCTAACGTATAAACTGTCGATCGCGAGTTATTCATAACAGTAACTCCCATACCATATAAACCGCAGAACGGTAGAAGAACGGGCACTCATATCCTAACCCCCGCTCCCAAATTGCGGCTCACACCGTACGAGCCCTCTTCAGGTCAAATTCGGAGAATTTGGTACAGCCTGTCGACTGTCCTTCCTCTCGATTTTGCATTGTCATCTCGCAAGAGGTGCCAGATATTTGAAATTGTCGTCGTATTCCTATGAAGAAAGCCAGCAAAGCTTTGGGCCCGGCGAGAGTGACAAGCTACTTATACGAAACGACTTTAATGGAGGCATACGGGCTTTGCAACGCAATCGATATATATCTCGATGGACCTAGCATTTTCCTTGTCATCACGGTTATCTAATGACGTGGAAATCTTCTAAATCTTGAGCACCATCGCGAAAGGACCGGCTCTCCCGTTGCATTTATATACGCGGGTCGCAGCAATATACGAAAATGTTCGAAGGCTTAGTTGGGCGCAAGATGTGATTATGCTGAACGAATTGTGCAGTGTATGATGAGAAGACTGAGATGACTTGCGATAACTGGACACGAACTGGGTCCTTGCCCTATTGATGTGGTCTTCCGACAGCCTCCATCTTGACCTTATTAACACGGTTTCATCAGTATACATCCAATGCTGAGTCTTCAGCAACTACTTTGATGATAGTCTGGATAATATAAGCGGGATATGGTAAGCATTTGTCTTGTTACTCTTAGTTGCGTTGAACATATATTCATTCTAAAGCCCGCTTCACCCTAATCCTCAAGATGGACCAAGGGCAATTTCCTATTTGCATGCAGATTGAAGCATCGTAGCATATGTCTACGAGCGACTGTACCTGTGGGAGGTATACCAGATATTCCTGCGCAAAGATTACCTGGCAAACGCAGTGGCCATTTACGCAATTTGCTGGTATTGCCACATGGAATAAAATCGGGCCCAAACAGTTCTTGTTGGTATCAGATGCTCCTGCATTTGCAAGGCGTTGTGCATATGACGGTAGCAACAGGCGAGCGATAGAGACTGTGCTCGTATACCAACAACGTTGTCTCAAGAAATGTGATGTGATCCCATTGCTGTCGTGTGGACAGGAAGTCAGCTCGTGGCTACGTCCGCAATCAAACCAAGCAAACCTCTGAGGACGCCTAGCTTTCTCAAATCGATTGAGTTTTCTCGGTTTCACTATGTTGCGAAGACACAAGATACACGAGAATGATGCCAGGTGACATAAACTGCCTGAGTATATGAAACTCATAATGCTGCTTAAATAGGTCTGAATAACAGCCCTTCTAGAGATTGCAGCATCCTGGATAGACCTGACCAGACATCTGATATCCGAGATGACATCGAACATTGGGGACGTAGGGATGTTCCAAACAAATCGACAGCGTGGGTACGACGAAATGCAATTTTGAGCTACCTTGTTTCCATTGGAGATGCAAAGAAATATGACAATCAGGCGTCATTTCCTGTCATCGTCCTTCTCATCCAAGTCAAAAGCGGCAGCAGAGCATCGACAAGCAAGTATTAGAACTTATTCATCAGTAAATACCTACATACCACATACTCAAGCCTAAAAAACCAGCTAACATTGCAATTGGAAGTATCTGAGGATGCCTAAATTAAGGGGAAGCTCTTCCATAATGTTGCGAAGCCTGGGAGATAGTCAATATACATCCAGAGTCTAAGTGACTTTCCAGTTACATGCATATCATCAACGATGGCTATACCCAGGACATTTGCGCGTGAATACTCATTCTTTTATGGTATCGTCAAGTACTTCGTTAGTTATCATTATAGCTATGGCGAGACTCACGTCGAGATCCCACTCATCAGTCCTCTACTTAGAGACTACCCTCGCCAAATGGACAGTTATTGCAAATATAAAATATACATCGGTTCCATGACTTCAAAGACTGCTACTGCGTCGTGCATTCCAAGAGAACTCCAAACTGAAGGCCGAACGCTGCTATCTAAGCCGTCTTCGAAGAAAAGAAGCAGATGCAAAGTTGTTTGATGCAAAGGATAAGACTCATAAAGCTGCAAATTTTGGCATTGACTGCTCCTGCTCAACCCCTCAAACAATGACATAAACTTCACTACAATGCTGGAGCTACGGGAGGAGGCTCATTGATGGTCTGCGCAGAGGCATCTCATGCAGGAGATCGGGGGAATCCATGCAAGAAAGGCATTCTATCCGGGAGACAATCGGGTAATTAGCCTGCTATATGTCTTTCTGAAGGGCGGTGACGCGACCCCCATGTCGGGCCCAGTCAAGGATGCCCTTTCAGACTTGCTCACCGACTCTGTGATGCTTCCTTTCAGGCGCAATTCCCCTTGAATGTCGCTGTCCGGAAATTTTAATGGTAATATTGAGATCCTTACCAGAAGCAAGAACAGGGTATTAGCTAGCAAGAACCTTGCTTCTAAAAGTCAAGTTCTTGCTCTACTTTATTAATGCGCCGTGTTTAAGCATCGAGCCAACCTGGTTCTCACCTTTGGTATTAGAGATATATACACAGTCCATTGAACCTTCCAATTATACAGAGATCCTATGACCATGCGAATCTTCACCCTCATGCAACTTTAACCTTCCCATATAATCTACCGGATAATCAACATCTGGTCTGATTTTCAAGCCTACTCTATACTTCGTACTTTCGTACATGAGGATCTTGGGGTCTTGCTCCTTTTGAGGAGTACCTATCTGCATCTGCATCCACCTCTCGTAATTCCTCGACTCGAGCACTTGCATACTACACACTAAAGATTATCGCTCTACACTAATACACCTACAAGAACCGGGTCATATTCTCTCCATCCCCTATTCGTATTCCTACTCGGTAGTAACCGATTGATAAGGCCAATCGAACAAAAGGGGTCTAGAGCCTCATGCACAAAAGCAATCAACAATGGTCGCTTTACGATGAGACCTCCCCCTTTAAAATTAGGTTATACTCCGTAGTTAGTCCGTCGATGAGGAATAAGGATAAGGATCTCCCTGATCTCCCTGTCTGCATACTAGGGTGATTTTGAGTTCATAAGGACAAGGAGATTAAGCGTATCTCGTAGCGCATCAAAGTGTAATGTGTGTTTCAGAAATTTGGCCTTTTGATAGTGAAAAGTGTTTGTTGTGGTTGCTTGAAAAGGGGGATTTACTTCGTACTCCGTATGTAGTTAACTAGGGGATGTGGCCTTACCAGAAACTGACTGCCTGAGGTATCGATCAGATGGCAAATCCAAGCACCGAACCGAAGCACCGGAGTACTCCGTACCAATAGGAAAACATCCATTGGCAGCGACAATGTCATTACGCAGACTCCATACTTGTACACTCAGCAGCGCCATCTAGTTTCATCTGTCAAGTGCTGATAGGCCGAACAGGTGATCTTGACATCGACACTGAGTCATGTGACCGAAGTCCATATTCGGGGTGCATAATGAGCAGAGTATAATTATTAAAATTGGCACTAAGAGAGTAAGCAATAATTTGGATGAGCTTGTCAATTGTCATCATACATAATATCTAGGAGCATATTAACTATTAGTTGCACTCCGTACGAAGAACGGAGAACAGAACACATTTAGTCAAGCACGTCCGAAGGCAGAACTCCGAACCGAGCTATTATAGTAGAACCCCTGGGGTAATAACATAAGAATAGTACTCGGTAGTACTCCATACATAGCGATACCATTTAGAATACCGCAGACTAACCAAAACAGAGAAACAGACGAAAACAACCTCGACGCCGTCGCAGACCAGCTACCGTTGAACCTTATGTGTAGAGTGTTTATTTACCAGATGCGGTAACATCTGCGACTAGGTGGGCGATCATTCGGTAGGATTCTGTGAGTGTCTACTCCGTACTGCGGACATTAGACCACTTACAAATTTAAAGACACATGTCTACAAGTATAAAAATGTTCTGTATGTCTTATGTCTCAATCTATTAATTCCAATTATTGTGTATCCGCAGTTGATACGAGTACGACACATCAATTACCACGAGGCCGGCTGAACCGGTGGTCAATGAGTAATCCACAAACCAGGAGGACCTGTAGACGAGATCGTCGTTGGCCATTGCGGTGGTTAATATTCGGCAGAGAGTGTCTCTGACCAGACGAAGCTGAGTCTAGCCGTGAGGTTGTCTAGATTGAGTATGGCGGATGTTCATCTTCGGATATGGACACATAGCAAAGATCGGGTTCAACGGGCGTCACCCAAACATTGCGCGTTCCCACTGCCCCACTGCATCCAGGACTTGTATTCTGTTTAAAAAAAAAAAAAAAAAAAAAAAAAAAAAAAAATTTTGACGGTCTTTGTGATCAAAGTACAGCAGATACAGGTACAGGGCAAAAGTACGTGATAGACACAAGGATGGCTGCAGTGTATCTGTAGTTTGACAGGATCTGTAGCATAATCGCATGTACGTAGTATGCACAGGGAGAAGTTCCTTGTGCAGGGTGTCGGCACGAAAATCCCCAACCAATCAGCAGGTCATGTGCGATTAACTTTACAGCCGGAAGAGTTACGCGGAGGGACAAAAGACCCGACACCCCTCACTGCGTCACCACACACACACATATGTGTACACACATCGAACCGTACTTGTGTCTCAATATACTATTGCACCGATTATAGATATAATCTACGATTCTACCAGTACACTGGAGCGTAGATGTGATAGATCATCTGTCTGGATACGCTGAGGAAAATACGGGATGGGAACCCCGACCGGGAAACGAATCAAGACACCCAAATTATTTTATTGGCCACCAGGAAACTGGAACGCCCCACAAGACACCCGAAGGCGAGGGAAATAAGTGGAGAATACTATGGACCTGGGACGGTCCAGCCCCGGCCGAGTAATATTACGGTACGCCGCATTACGGGCCGCCGCTCTGAGAGAAATAAAAATTTATATCATCCCAGCATCCCAGCATTGTTTGTGTCTTCAGAAGAAAATACTTGGTACAGATTTCACTCGTTTTGATAGCAGTGGTCATTCGTTATTTATTATATCATTGTTCATTTTAGTTGTACGACTCGGTGCAACTACGCAACTACTACTCAAATTGACTTGACACCCAGGTCGGTGATCTATCATCTCTCGTTGTTTTTCTTTTTCTTTGATATTATTTCGTGGCTTCGACTCGATCTCCCCCCCCCCCATAAGAGTTACTATTACTTTTTTTTTTCTTCTTTCATTTGAAAATTCCAACTATCGATTCTTTTCCCGCTCTTGTGGATATAGAGCAAATCATCCGCTGGCATCCCAGAGTCCCGGTCCCCAGTCTTACGCCGGAATCTCTTCCTGACCATCCATTCCACATCC